GGAGATCAGCCCGGCCACATACCGGCCCATCATTCCCAACTCTACTGGGGGGGGCGGAGATCAGCCAGGCCACATACCGGCCCATCATTCCCAACTCTACGGGGGGGGCGGAGATCAGCCCGGCCACATACCGGCCCATCATTCCCAACTCTACTGGGGGGGGCGGAGATCAGCCCGGCCACATACCGGCCCATCATTCCCAACTCTACAAGAGCAGAGGTGGTCTGCACAGGACCAGGGGCCTCACCTTGAAGGCTTCCATCAGGTCCTCCTCATGGGTCTGGTTGGTCTGCCATGGCTTGTTAGCATCGCGGGTTCCGTCCGAGCGGAGACTTTCACCAAACACGTCCACGTAGAAGAAGACGTAGTCGCCGCCGGTCAGCTTCTCCTTGTGGGCCTGTAGCATGATCTTATGCAGCATCTCCAGGGGGCCACAGATGTAGATAACTGTGAGGAGAACAGAGCATGGGGATGTTACCAGACAGAGCACATCGGGGGCCACAACCAACACGGCAACTACAGGACCACCAAACAGAACAAATGGCGTCCGTCTCTCACATTATTATCATACGGGATTTATATGGCGCCAACAGTGTGCGCAGCGCTGTACAATACAAGGAAGACATTACATCACAATACAAGACAAGATGGTGAGGAGGGCCCCGCCCCTGAGGGCTTACAATCTAAAAAGGGAGGGGCCAGTGATACATGAGGAGGTAGCTGTGTGGGGGGATGAATGGTTGAGGTGGGATCGGCTTCCTTGAAGAGATGAGTCTAAAAGCAGTCAGAGTGGGAGACAGACGGACAGGTTGGGGTAAAGAGTTCCAGAGGATGGGAGAGACTCTAGAGAAGTCCCTGAGGCGAGTATGGGAGGAGTTGACGAGGGAGCTGGAAAGCAGGAGGTCTTGGGAGCAGCGGAGGGGACGGGTGATACTTGGAGACGAGGTTGGAGATCTAGCCGGGGGCGGAGTTGTGGACGGCTTTGTTAACATTTAGAATTGTATCCATTATACAGTTATGTGCACCACGGAGCCGGGTCACCTCGGGGGGCGGGGACTCCTTATTTCTGCATGGTGAGGGTACGTCTAGCATGTTCCGAGGCCGGTTCCTGACAGGGCCATGTATGTTGGAGGACAGGGGGAAGCTCTCGGGTGTTGGGGTGTCAATGAGCGTGTGACCCTCCCTCCCGTGGCGGGTTTATTCCCGGCAGAATGGTGGCCTCTCATTGGCCGGGGCCCTCAATGCAGCATGAGTACACGGTGCATGCTCGGGACTCTCCCGGACATCGTATGTGGTGACGGTAATCATGAACACCGCGGAGGAACAGGAAGTACCGACACAGCCATCTGCCGAATCATGAGTGGAGGACGGTGGAGGGCGGTGCGCGGCACTTCCTGTCTGTTCACCCTAAATGATGACATGGAGTCCGGGGACAACCAATGAGAAAGGGAGATCGGGCCTGACAACGTCCGACCTCCAGACCGGCTATACCGCGTGTAGGGTACGCCTTCTTCCCCATCTCCTGAGCACGGAGGTTCAGATGAATCTCTGACACCTGAGAGACAGAAGGGGCGGAGTCTGGAGAAGGGGCGGAGTCTGGAGAAGGGCCGGAGTATGGAGAAGGGGCGGAGTATGGACGGGGAGGTGAATCTCTGAAACCTCAGAAACAGAAGAGGCCGTAGTATGGACAGGGGAGGTGAATCTCTGACACCTGAGAGAAGAGGCCGGAGTATGGAGAAGGGGCGGAGTCTGGAGAAGAGGCCGGAGTATGGACGGGGAGGTGAATCTGTGACACCTGAGAGAAGAGGCCGGAGTCTGGAGAAGGGGCGGAGTCTGGAGAAGGGGCGGAGTATGGAGAAGAGGCCGGAGTATGGACGGGGAGGTGAATCTCTGACACCTGAGAGAAGAGGCCGGAGTCTGGAGAAGGGGCGGAGTCTGGAGAAGGGGCGGAGTATGGACGGGGGAGGGGAATCCCTGACACCTGAGTAATGAAGAGGCCGGAGTATAGAGAAGAGGCCGGAGTATGGAGAAGGGG